CCCAACAGACCCCAGTGTGTGATGCCCCCCTCCCTGTGTCCATGTGTTCTCATTGTTCAACACCCGCCTATGAGTGAGAACATGCGGTGTTTGATTTTCTGTTCTTGTGTCAGTTTGCTGAGAATGATGGTTTCTAGGTTCATCCATATCCCTACAAAGGACATAAACTCATCGTTTTTGATGGCTGCATAGTATTCCATAGTGTATAAAATATGAATTTTAAGCCAGGCACAGTGGCTCATGCCTGTAATCCCAGCACTTTGGGAAGCCAAGGTGGGTAGATCACCTGAGTTCAGGAGTTGAAGAACAGCCTGGCCAACATGGTAAAACCCCGTCTCTACTAAAGATACAAAAAATAAAATAAAATAAAATAAAATAAAATAAAATAAAATAAAATAAATTAATAAAATATGAATTTTGAAGCAAAATCTTACTGGCTCCAACCTGACTCATTTGGTTGCAAAATGGGATTTGAATGAATGTGAAGCTATTTATAGCCTGTATTTTTCTTATTTATTTATTTATTTATTTGAGATGGAGTCTTGCTCTGTTGCCCAGGCTGGAGTGCAGTGGTGTGATCTCAGCTCACTGCAACCGCTGCCTCCTGGGTTCAAGCGATTCTCTTGCCTCAGCTTCCTGAGTAGCTGGGATCACAGGCACCCGCCATTATGCCCTTCTAATTTTTAGTATTTTTTTAAATAAAGATGAAGTTTTGCCATGTTGGCCAGGCTGGTCTGGCACTCCTGATGTCATGTGATCCACCTGCCTCGGCCTCCCAAAGCGCTGGGATTACAGGCGTGAGCCACCACGCCCGGTTAGATCTTTGTATGTTTCTTTGTGGACATCTCGATGTATCAGATGACACAGGGAGTGCTTCCCCGACCCTGCTGGAAGTGCAATGTCATATCAGACATAGGCACCGCATCACATTTCTAAAATATAAATATGTAGAATTCCAAAGTGTATTGGGCTATAAGGGTTTGGATAAGAGATTGGGATGTGTATTTTGCAACATTTTAAAGCTGAGGAATCCAGAGACTGAATACCACTGCCGGTAAGTGGCAGTGCCTGGACCGGAATCCAGGAATCTGATCCCTGAGTTGAGTCTGACCACTGGGCTGTATTAAGAGAGGCAGACTGATGCTTATTAACCGCACGAATGAAGGAATAAAGGAGGCTGCCTGGGCCTTGTTCCAGCTCCTGGGCTGTTTTGCCTGCTGCTAGGGAGATTCCTGTCTTCCTCTGGCAGAACATCTTTCTGGGCCCAGTGCTGCAGCTGTAAGTGTGCGTGCAAAACATGCATGGACACACACCACACACACCAACTCACACCTCGGAGAGGAGCTGCATGCTGCTGTACTTCCTGGAGCTTTGCGGCTGCCTGTTGTTTCAGCGATCTCATCTTTATGAATGAGGCAACAGAACCCACTAGTAACCAGGCGAGGGAGTGAAAACAGATGCTTTTCCAGCCAGGCAGGGCTGTGCTGAGCAGTTTGTCATTGTGGTTAAACCTCTGTCTCCATCAAGACACACTCCTTGTAAAAAATGATGACCGTTCTCTCTCTCTGACTTTAGGAACTGCCCCGGTCCTGAAAACTCAAAGTCACAGCTAACAGGAAAAGGATAATTTGTCTGTTGGGTACTTAGACCAGAATAGGGCAACGGGGTACAGTAATGCTATTTCTGAAAGCGTGAAGGCCTAATTTCCTCCAGCCAAGAGGGGAAGTGAGCCTGCTTTGCGTGCTTGAAAGCTTCCTTGAGAGGAGGTGAGGTTGCCTCTAAAAGGCAGTGGAAAATCAACGTGGTTTTAAGTGAGCAAAAGTCTTCAAAAAAAAAAACCCTCAGGAATGAGATAGGCTATAGGTTTGGCCAAGGACAGATCATCCAGCATTATTGTTGATAGAAACACAGCTGTAGAAAGAGGAATACTGCATGATTTCCTCTATGTTTTTAAAAAAGGACATGTATCTGCACACGTGTGTGTGTGTGTGTGTGTGTGCTTAGATGTATAAAAATATTTAAAAAGGACAAAAATACTCTCTTACCATTAACACAGGAAGTAAATAAAAAATGGGGTGGGGTAAGGAAAGGCGTGTCAGAGAGGGAGAGAAGGGTGAGTTTCTATTTTCAGTCATATATACTACAGTGTTTTTCCTTTACTCTGTAATCTAAAATAAAAATAAATACAGTCAATTGGCAAAAGCAAACACCCAAACAAACAACTACATAATAAACAGAAAGCCCTTTAATTTCTAAGAATCAGGAGGCTTCAGAACATGAAAGAACTTCCTGGTTCGAGGCATTGCTCGTGAAATCATGTTTGGAAACTGATCTGGAATTCTACCCCGCTCGGAACCAGGTAGATTCCATAAAATAGTTCTTTTAAAAACTCTTCTTTTATGCTTACTGTTGTGGTGTTTTTCTTTTTGTTTTGTGTGTGTGTGTGTGTGTGTGTGTGTGTGTGTGTGTGTATGTTTAAGGCATAGGAAACATCCAAATGACTAACGTTGTTTACATTCTATTCTTTAAAATACACATCCCACTAGGTGAAGGCAGAAAACAGTGTCTTTAAATATTAAAGAAAAAAAATCCTGTTTAAAAACCAGCTTCTTCCAGAGCCTAAGAGAGAAGCAATTAAGGTCCCCGAGGATGCTTGAGACTGTGTACAAAAAAATGTGGGTCTTTGGTTAATCTACTGTAAAACAAACAAGTTGCATTCTGGCTTTTAGATTATGTTTTAAGTAAAGTTTCACCAGCTTGCTTGATACTTTTGTATAGCTTATTCCCTATAAATTGGGTGAAGTAGAAAATAGGAAGAGAAAGAGGAGCCCGAGGGAGGCGGTGATGGTAGGTAAAGCTGGGAACAGGCGCCCCCCTTCTGCCTCATCTCCACTTGCAAGGACATCAAGAATTCAACAAATGGTGGCTTCCGGCAACGCCTCCGGTTGAGAAGCTTTCCTGGTTATGAACCTGAACCAGGCTTTTCTTAGGAGAACAGCGTACGTAATTATTGGCATCTCAATCACAGGCGCTGAAAGAATAAATGACCAGCATGGGCAGATTTTGACTAAGAATTGTCAGGGGCTAATGATTTTCTTAAGTTTGGGATTTTTAACCTGACAGGATACTCTTCTTGTTGGCAAAACTTTTTCAGTGTCCCTGGGGCTTTCAGGCTACAGAATTGTGTTAGAAAAAGTCTATGAGCAACCACCTTTTAGAATACGTCTCTATTAATCAAGCAAAAAATTTTTTTCTTTCTGTATATCAAATCCAATAAAGAAAAGGTCCTTTGAAAGCTTGATGGAAAAGTTAGGTTTTGTGACTGTCCTTTTCAAAGCACTATTAACATATTATTTCTTATTTGATTCTCTTAGCAACCCAGGAGGTTGTCAGAGTAAACAATCTTCGCGTTATAAATGCGGGAGAAAAGGCATAAAAAGCTAACTCATGCATGTAAACAGTTGGTCAGAGAGTTTAGGATTCCTAGCCTGTTTTGCGCAATCTTTTCAGCGACAGCAAGTATAGCTCCTAGCAGGTTCTATTCAAACATCTCCAGGATTCATCTTGTACTAAAAGTTATGGAAAAAATCTTGAAGAGCACAATGAAAAATCCAGAGAGGAGGCTACTTAAGCATGATTCACCCCAAATCCCAACTTAAGACTTTTGGGAAGGGACGCATTTTGCCTTTGTCATCAGGAATGCACCAGGAGCATTTATTTGTAAGGCTTGCCAGGAACTTGACTATTTTTGCTTTATTACCTGAGCTGGCTGTGCAGCTGTTGGTCTTAGAAAACTATATTAGATCCCTGGGAGTGGGTGGCGATGTGATTCTGCAGACACAGATAATAATTCTAGACAATCGCAGGCTCCTTTTATTCAAGGGGTGTGCCCTTCATTTACAGAAAGAAGACTGAATCACAGAATGGAAAACAGCAATGACACAGCACAGCAGGAAACAAAAGAATGGGATTGGTTCTTATTCCACCACCCACCCCACCCCACTTAACTTTTAGACTGCATTGTCTTAACGGTAGACTTTGATCTAAATGTTGAGTCCCTTTTCATTATAACAGTAATTCAAAAGGCAGGATCTAGATATCTCAATGGATGATCTGTTGGTCTTTGCTTAAGGGAAAACAAATAAAAGTAACCTGGGCCAAATGCAAAACATGCAAATCAGGAATTTTCTGTGTATGTGTGTGAGTGTGTGAGTGTGTGTGTGAGAGTGTGCATGTGTGTGCGTGCGCGTGTGAGTACGTGTCTGTGTGCGTGTGTGCATATGCGTGTGTGTGAGAGTGTGTGCGTGTGTGTGCATGCACGTGTGAGTGTGTGTACGTGTCTGTGTGCGTGTGTGTGTGTGTGTGTGTGTGTGTGTGTGTGTGTATGTAGCAGATAATAAGTTTCTAGCATGCAAAAAAGTCATGTAATAATAACAACAGGGCCGGGCATGGTGGCTCACTCCTGTAATCCCAGCACTTTTGGGAGGCCAACGTGGGTGGATCACCTGAGGTCGGGAGTTCAAGACCAGCCTGGCCAACATGGTGAAACCCCGTCTCTACTAAAAATACAAAATTAGCTGGGTGTTGTTGCGGGCTCCTGTAATCCCAGCTACTTAGAAGGCTGAGGCAGGAGAATTGATTGAAGCTGGAAGAGGGAGGTTGCAGTGAGCCGAGATCGTGCTATCGCACTCCAGCCTGGACGACAGAGCAAAACTCCGTCTCAAAGAAAAAAAAAAATAAAAGAAAACAACAACAGTAATAATCATAGTTCACTTATATGTCAGGTACTATTTTAGGTGCTTTATAAGTATTAATTCATTTAGTGCTCACATCAGCTCTCTGAGGTAGATGCTGGTATTATCTTCGCCTTATAGTTTTGAAAACTGAGGCAAAGAGAGGCAAAGAAACTTGTTCAAGGCTGGTAAGGGTGAAAAACCTCAGTCGACATTCTTGCCTTGGTGCTACATGTGAACATACCTTTAGGAATGGGTTCACTCGCTTTCCGGCGGTGACGACCTACCCACGAGAACATGCCTCTCGCAAAGGATCTCCTTCATGCCTCTACAGAAGAGGAGAACAGGAAACACAAGAAGAAATGCCTGGTGCAGAGCCCCAATTCCTACTTCATGGATGTGAAATGCCCAGGATCCTATAAAATCACCACGCTCTTCAGCCATGCACAAACAGTAGTTTTGTGTGTTGGCTGCTCCACTGTCCTCTGCCAGCCTACAGAAGGAGAAGCGAGGCTTACAGAAAGACGTTCTTTCAGGAGGAAGCAGCACTAAAAGCACTCTGAATCAAGATGAGTGGGAATCCATCTCAATAAACACATTTTGGATTAAAAAAAAAAAAAAGGAATGGGTTCACTCAATTTTAACTGGCTTCCGCCAACATAAGCCCATCTGAGAACTCTGTTCATTAGAAAAAGAGGACCTCCCCCTCAGCCCAGGGCAGGAGCTGCCTTTTATGGGCTGATGGCATTGAAGAGCATCTTCAAGAACTCTGGAGTGGCAAGTGGAGGCAGGGCTAGAATTCTATGGACTCCTTTCTGTTGGCTGGGGGTCCTGGTGGGGGGCCATACTTCCTGTTTGTGGCGATGCTGTGGCTCGCACACACACTAGTTGTGAGACTTTGGGGAGGATCCTCAACACCTTTGAGCCTCTGTGTCTCCATCTAAAAGACTGGCATGACGCTGCCGAGCTCACACAAAAGCTTGTGGTGAGGATTCAAGGTTGAATTGTGTATGAAGTACTTGGTATGCAGGAAGCGCCAAGGAGACAAAATCAAGCACGTGATAGAACCAGGCCAGAGATTTTGGATTGGGTTATAAACTCCTTTATGGGAATCTGTGGGGGGCAGAGTAGCCATTGGAGGCTCATTCAGAAAGACCATGGACTAGACATATCCTAAAAAAGACACTGGAGTTTTATGAGCGATGGACGATGTCTTCACTCCGTTTTAGCATGGAAAGGTGCTGGTGGTTGAATAAACTGTACCATTAAGCTATGTCCTTAGTAAACTATCTTTCTTGGCCAGGCGCGGTGGCTCATGCCTGTAATCCCAGCACTTCAGGAGGCCGAGATGGGCGGATCACGAGGTAGAGAAATCGAGACCATCCTGGCCAACATGGTGAAACCCTGTCTCTACTAAAAATACAAACATTAGCTGGGCACGGTGGCACGCTCCTGTAGGCTCAGCTACTTGGGAGCCTGAGGCAGGAGAAACACCTGAGCCCGGGATGCAGAGGTTGCAGTGAGCTGAGGTCGTGCCACTGCTCTCCAGCCTGGTGACAGAGTGAGACTCTGTCTAAAAACAAAACAAAAAACAACAACAACAAAAAACTTTCTTTTTTTTTTTTTTTTGAGACGGAGTTTCCCTCGTTGCCCAGGCTGAAGTGCAATGGTGCAATCTCAGCTCACTGCAACATCCGCCCCCCGGGTTCAAGCAATTTTCCTGCCTCAGCCTCCTGAGTAGCTGGAATTACAGGCGCGCACCACCACACCTGGCTAATTTTTTGTATTTTTAGCAGAGATGGGGTTTTACCATGTTGGCCAGGCTGGTCTTGAACTCCAGGCCTCAGGTGATCCACCTGCCTTGGCCTCTCAAAGTGCTGGGATTACACGTGTGAGCCACTGTGCTCGACCAATAAACTATCTTTTCTGAATTGTGGTCTTGAGAGCGCCGTATTGAAATAAACAGAGTGGATACCGCTGAACTTGGGAGCTGCTTTCAGCATGTCTCACGTGAGTGTAAATGCACTCACAGATATTCTCTGTTAATGTTAGTTATGCCAGTGGGGAATCAGGTGCCCCTCATGTGCAATGAAGAATTGCCCCTTAAGGTTGTGTGACTTTGGACACATTTTTTTTTTTTTTGAGACCAGGGTGTTGCTCTGTCACCCAGGCTGGAGTGCAGTGGCACGATCATGGCTCACTGCAGCCTCAATCTCCTGTGCTCAAATTTTATCCTCCCACCTTAGCCTCCCAAGTAGCTGGGACCACAGTCATATGCCACCACATCCAGATAATTTTTATATTCCTTGTAGAGACAGGGTTTTACCATGTTGCCCATGGTGGTCTCAAACTGGGCTCAAGGGATCTGCCCGTCTCGGCCTCCCAAAATGCTGAGATTACAGGCATGAGCCACCATACTTGGCTTGGACACATTTCTTAGTTATGTTCTGCATTAGCTTCCTCATCTGTCAAATGGAATAATAATAGTTTCTCCTTCTTGGCTTGTGAGGCTTATATAAGAAAGATCCATGTGAAATGTGTGGCACCATTAATGACAAATAGTAAGTGCTCAAAAAATGCCAGCTACCTTAGTTAATTGATTACTATTATTAAATGGAATATAAATCTAAAGGCAGGCCGGGTGTGGTGACGCACCCCTGTAATCCTAGCACTTTGGGAGGCCGAGGCAGGTGGATCACCAGGTCAGGAGTTCCAGACCAGTTTGGCCAATATAGTGAAACCCCATCTCTACTAAAAATACAAATGTTAGCCGGATGTGGTGGTGTGCTGGTGTAGAGGTAGAACATCCAGACCCCTGTAGCTTGTAATCCCAGCTACTCTGGAGGCTGAGGCAGGAGAATCAT